ATATGACCTCCTTTGTTATTTTAGGGATGGGAAGGTGACCTGAAATTTGTCTAGCACCCAGTTCTCCAGAAACCGATGTAATGTTGTTGATACAAAAGGAAACCAGATATTAGCATATAGTGAAAACTAATTCATAGCAACAACTAGCAATAGCAAATAAATTAGCAGTAATAGTAAAGTCAAAGATAAAGTGGATATTGACATACCATAAGAACTAATAAAAGCTACCTTAACAATAGAAAAGAGATCTGTAATAACCTAGAGACAAAGACAAACCAAATATTGACATGTAGTAAATAGCTACAAAATGCAACAATTATACCACCATTAATAATAGAAAAGAACTCAACAAATATTTCATAGAGTCAACTAAATATCTAAAAATTAATAAATCTTAGTAGTAGTACTAATAAAAATGGAAGGGGTAAGGGAGTAGGAAAAGAAAGTAAAATTTGGAAAATAAAGAAAAGGAAAATGAGAAGGAGGAGACAAAACTAATATAAAAAATTCAATTATAGAGTAAAAGAAAATTAGTAGAATTAGATGAAAGTAACAAAAAAGAACTAACAAAAGAAGGAAAAAAAACAAAGTAAAGTTTAAAAAATAAGAAGCAAAGACAAAACACTGAACCCAAAAAAACCAGCACAGGAAAAGAATCCAAAAATTTCCTCTGTGTTTTAATGATTGTTTTCTTCCATGGCCTGGGAGAGGGATAGTGAGTCACTACTAAGTCCTCTTTTGTTTTCACACTCACTTTATGGACAAACAGACAGGAGTTATCCTGCCTGCCTTGCCTGCTAGGAGTGGTCAGTCAGTGCTGTCTGTTCGAGCGTTGTATTCACTCCATCTGTTCCCTGTTTCTGTGTTTCTGTGCACTCCAAGTCACTGTTTTCTCCACCTTGTTTTATGGCCTGTCGATTTTTGATGTGCCTCCCCTTCTCCAGAGGCCCCTCTGTTTGTGCACCCCAGGCTGTGGTAACTGTCCAAGCCAAGGCATTTCCCTGATCACTATGACAGATGGGGAAAGCAAACAGACTGCTGAGCTCTGTGGTTCATGCAGGAATCAGGGCAGGACAGGGGTTGGGGTGGGGGTTCATTTAGTGTGCTGCATTTAACAAAAGCACTTTCAGACCCAGCCCCTTCCAAAACCCATGTGCTACTGGCCTGATTTCTTACCACAGAGGATAGATTCCTGGTGTCTTTCCTGGCCTGAGCTTAAATATCTCAGGGTGTCTCTGTTGTAGCCTAAACTCTATCTGTAATTGTCTCTTGTGGCCATTTTCTAACCAGTCACAGAGGTAGGGTGACCCCAGAAACTCTGAAGTGTAACTGTTCTGTGACTTCTGATTCTTGGAGTAGCTCAGTTTTAAATGATTAACCCCTTCTCAAAATGGATCCAGATTAATCACTTTGAAATATGGCAGGCACTGCAATAGAGTGCTTCTCCAATTCTATCCTGGAAGGATTTACTTTCTGAGTAAAAGTCCGGGCTGCTTTTGCAGTTTATAATAATGATGAGCTTTTCATAGGGCTCCAGCCCAATCCATTGTTCTTCCCTGGGTCTGCCAAACCTCTCCAGGTTTACCTTGTATTTACAGAGACAGATTTCCATTCCTGGAAGCTGGGCTTAGTGTTCCAGTGTGCATCTTTCTTTTCCCTGCTTTGTCTTCCAGTTCTTTAGTTTCTTTGTGATTCTTAGTTTTCTTATTGGCTTTCTTTTTTTCTCTCTCTCTCTTCACTATTGTTTTCCAGGTGTTTTTTGTTGTTGGTTTTTTGTTTGTTTTTTGTTTTTGTTTTTTGGTACCAGGGATCGAACTCTGGACCTTGCAATTGCAAGGCAGGTGACAGAACCACTGAGCTAAATCCCTGGCCCTCCAGTGTTTTAAGTCCATTTCCTGGAGAGACTATGATGTGTGGCTAGGCTCTACACTGCCATCTTCCTTCTCCTTCTTTTATACATAATTTCTTCAGAGTCTTTATGGAAGGAATGTTTTGTTTCATTTTGTTTTGTTTTTTGAGGTTTTTTTGGTACTGGGGATCAAACTCAGGACCTTGTGCTTGCCCGGCAGGCACCGGAACCACTGAGCTAAATCCCTGGCCCTGGAAGGAATGGGTTTTATCCATCTAATTTCCCCAGATTTCAAAAATTTTCTGCTATAATTTCATTGAATGGGTTTTCTTTGAATTAACTTGTATTTCTTCACCCTCCTCAAGCCCAATGATTCTTACATTTGGTCTTTTACAGTTGTTCAAGAACTCCTCCATTTTCTATTAATTCTTACTCTTTTTTCTTTATTACTGACTATTCTAGTATATCCATCTTGTTTTAAAGCCCTGATATTCTTTCTTCTGTTACATCAAGCCTACTGTTGAGAAATTAAAGTGAATTCTTATTTGACCAATTGAGGTTTTCATTTCCAGGATTGCTGTTTGGTTCTTTTTCAGAACTGCAATTTCTTTACTAAAATGGTCTTTCATATCCTGGATTGTCTTCTTCAATTCATTCAGGTGCTTATTTGTATTTCTTTGAGTGTACTGATCATTCTAATAATTGATTAATGGTCATTAGTATCTTCCCTGGTGTCATTTACATTTAATTATCACCTTTTAAATTCTTTTCTGGAATTTCATTATTTCAACATTGATGGTATCAGTTATAATTCTGGGAGGCATCTTGTTGCCTTTTTTCCTCATGATTCTTGTGTTTTAGTGTTGAGGTTTGCAGATCAGTTGGGATGGATATTTCTATGGCTATTGTGCACAAGTTCTTTAAGTAAGTGGCTTTCTCTTTGTATTGTGCCCTAGGCTGTTGTTGTATGTCTCAGCATGAAAGCACCCACTCAACCTATTCAAAGTGCTAGGGTCAATCCCTAGTACTGCTCTGTAATGAAAGAATGACTCCCAGTAATACCAACATGTAAATAACCAACCATATTTTAACATAACTAAACTTGTTTTAAAAGTTTTCTACTATTTCACTAACCCAGAAAAAGGAGAGTAGTAATGTATGATAGACTAGGGGGAAAAAGGAATTAATGATAATATTTATATATAAGAAAAAAGGGGGAGGGAAGAGATATGAAAGGAGAAGGAAAGAAAGAACATAACTAGAAAGTGAGAGAAGTGATATGGAGATGGAATCTACTTAACAAACTAACCAAACAAAAGCTAGAAAAGCCTGTGAAACAACCCTTCCTGTAGGAAAGCATGACCCTGCTCTTTACTGTCTGCTCTACTGTTTTCTCTGAATGTCTCTGAGCAGGGAGCAGGAGTTGGGCACACAGGGTCTGTACTATGCTAAGGTAAGAAGATGGCAGCACTCAGTCTTACACTGGTCCCTGCAGCAGTGCTCCCAGACTCAAACTCCTTTCCTACAAAAGCTCATGCATCTTGGCCCTTTTCCTGTCACAATATTCAAACTGCCGTTCTGCTTTGTTTTGTTGTGTTTTCTTCCCCTTCCTCTGGCAGAAGGCACTTGCTGCCAGCTGGATTTCATGCCATCTAGCTACTGCACTGAGACATTCCCAGCCAGGAGTCCTGTCTTCTGTGAGCCAGCCACTAGAGTCTTTGCCTGTGTGGTATGATTTTAGTTTTCCTGTCACAGTACCATTCTCCATGGTCCAAGGTGACTCCTAGGGAGGATGCCCACTGCCTTCCTGGAGAGAAGTGCCTGCTGTGTTTTAGAGATACAACAAACATGAGAGCTTCTGTTCTCCCACACTGTATACCAGGACAACTTTAACTTCCTCTTACTGCCCTACCAAAGGGATGGTTCCTCTCCTCCCTTGAGCTGTCCTTTGTCCAGTGCCAGTGCACATGGTTTCTGTTACTTCACTTGTGTTTCTGGGTTGCTTGCTTCCTCAAGTTGCAATCCAGGGATGTCCTATGTTCCCTAACTATCTCCTCATGCAGCCATAGCCTTGTTGGTTTAGATGTATATCCTGGAGTAGCCTGTGAGCACTTCCATGGTGGATGCCTGTAATTCTTATTCATTTCTTTAAAATACTTAATATGAAATATTTCAACTCTATAAGGAGGTGTGTGGATGCAATATACTTTCTACCTAGCTTAACAGAGAAAATGGTACATACACAGTAGAAAGCTTGGTATACCTCTCACAAACACATCTTCCAGCTCCCTCAGCTATCTGGCATTTAGCACTCATCCTCAGAAATTCTTTATATTGAAAATTACATGATCCCACCAATATGTACACATTTTATGCTTTTGATGTGTCAGTTACAATAAATTTAATTTCAAAATAAAAATGTGACGCTTTTAATATGAAAACATGCACAGTTGCTGCACATACTCCCATTTTGGAACTCGTCAATATTGTACACTGACTTTATCACAGTATAATTCATATTTACTTGGTTTCTTTCCAGACAACATTTTTTCTTTTTCATTGATACATGTTTGCTGGACATAATAATTACATTCATCTTGGGGAATTATTGCGTATACACATGGCATCTTAATCATTTTCACTGTCCTTTCCCCTCTCTGCCCTCCCATCTCCCCCAGCTTCAGACCCTCTTCCCGTCTCTAAAGTCTTCTCCCTCTTTCCTATCCTCTTTTATTTTACTCGTTAAATTACTTACAGTTAGCTTTACATCTTACAGAAAGATCATCACTAAAACTTTGAAGTATGATTTTTTAAAAGAAATTCTTTATAGGCCTTATATAATATTTATTTATATCAACAGTATATAGTATTATTTTGCATGTATTTAAACTTCGTATAATGTATGTTGTAACATATTTTATATGGTCATCTGGAACCTTTTTTCTCTACCTTATCTTTTTAGTTCTTAACATTTCAGTTGAGATATTTCTACCATTGTCAGTTAGATAAATGATTCTCAATGCCACTGTGCATTACTGTGGAATAGTGTTTTTCCCCTAAAATACAAGTTAAAATGGCTTAGATTGAAAAATGTTATGGAAAAAATTAATGTATAATGTAGTGTATAAATGAAACATTTGTTTCATTTCAGGTTTAATATAACGTATCCTCTTGTGCTTGTTCCCTGCCTCTTCTCCCCAGATCATCAACAGTAGATAAAGAAGACAAAAATATGTCAGGCCACAAATGGTAAGTAATTATTTTGGCTCTTATAAATTGGAATAGTCATAAGGTGGAAATCACATCATTTATGTTCAATAAATGTCTATTTAATGGAAAATCAGGAGACATGTTAGCAGTGAATAACTTGTTAGCCCTTCTTTAGTGGTAAGTATACCCCAATTCATTATCCCTACTAAATATGGAAGAATGAAAACTAAGCAAAAGAATTATAAATTCTTGTCTAATGGGTAGTTTATAAAAATTCACTAATGTATAACTTTTCTCTTGCAAGTTTAATGATGAATATTTACTACCTTTTTTCTAACTTAATGAGTTGATGTATTTTTATCATGATCTTATTTATAACTCCCATCATTACAGACATAAGGGAATTTTATGTAGGGTAGCAATGAAATAGAATGATTCTATAATCAGATACTACTCAGACTTATTTAATTTATAATGCATTACTTCAGCTGTCACAAATACTAAAAAACTACTTGTTGGAAATGTGTCATACTGAGTAAAGTAGATATAATCAATGTTAGTTCTGTCACGTATGTGCCTGTAACACATAGAAGCAGCGTATAAAACCTCTTATAAGTTCCAGAGCTCTTCAGGTCATGTGTCTAAGCCCTTGTACACATGAATCATCAAGCAGGCAGATTTTTATCAAGTTTTACCTTCTTTAATTTGCGTGATGAAAAACATAGTACATTCACTTCTGGGTGCAGTTAATTAAAACAAGAAGCTTTTTAATTTTTCCAGTCTCATTAGAGAAGCATTCGGGCCCAAGTCTTCTGTGATATCAAATGTCAAACTTAAGAGAATTTTTGAAATATAATGAGTTTTTAAAGTAATTAATAAGTGGCTAAGCGATGGCATTTCCCTAAGTATACCCATCTGACAGTCATCTAAGTGTTAGCAGACATTTGTTTTTATGGATATGGGCTGGCTTTATCTTGTGACCATCATAATGGCTGTCATATTCTGGGAAGAGGCTCAGATGAGTAATAGTCACTCATCTAAGAGCCTGGAAGGCCCAAGGAAGTACACCCTTTCCCAAACTCTCCCAGTTACTCCACTTCATGGCTTGTGCTGAAATGAAGGGCTGCAGAATGCATTGCAGTGAGCACTGGACTGTAATTTAAAGGCCTGGATTTTAAGCAAGATTCTTAACCATTTGAAATATAAGATTTCTCATTTTTTAACTGATAGGGGCTAGAAGGTGTTCACCAGATGTCTTAAAGTCCCTCTCCCTTTTTTTTTCAAATTTGAATTTTTTTCCTGTCAATCTATGATCACTGGGGGGGGGGGAAAGGATGTAACTAAAAAATTCATTCTACACCTTATTCTTGAGAGTCCCATTCTCAAGAGAATCCACAATCTTGAGGATGGATCTTTCCAGTCTTTTTTTTTTTTGGTATTAGGAATCAAACTCAGGACCTTGCACTTGCCAAGTAGGCACAGTGCCACTGAGCTACATCTCAGCCCAGTCCTAACAATCTTTTAGCAGGTGTGTTAGTCAGCTTTCACATTGCTGGGCCCAAGTACTTAACATCATAACTTAAAGGTTAAGAGAGGTTTAATTTGGCTCACAGTTTCAGAGAGTTCAGCCCATGATCGGCTGGTTCAGCAGAGCTAGGAATAGCACCAAAGAGGAAGGAGCCAGGGAACAGATACAGTACCTAAGGTCACACCTCCAAGGCCCACCCAGGTAGCCCAGAAGTGTGCTATACTAACCCCTTGCTGGCTCCGGAGCCAATCAAGTTGACCTGTCACATGTACGTATTACATCAAGAGATTATCTTTTATATAAATGTTACACATATTTTTGTCTTATTTTCTCTGATATGAACTCATTATTTAAGTATTTCAATAATGCAAATAGAGATAAAGTAGATCATGAAAGTCTCCCATAATCCTACCCTTCTTACCAAAGATAACTATTGTTAAGGAAACATCTGAAATGCTGGCATTTTAATAAAGTATAAATCGAAAATTATAAATTTAATCAAAAAGTAAATGAAAGAACATAAATCATCCCATTTAGAGATACTGTTATTTTTATCTAGTGGTATAAAGCAACTCATGGACATCTAGGGAGGTGTTGGGCAGAGGTGGAATGAAGTGCATATCTGCAGAGGAGAGAGGTCTGGGGACCTCTGTGGACCTTTGGAGCTGGAATCTCTGACCAAGGAAGGTGTAGGTAGAACAGAGAGTAAAGAATACCAACAGCAAGCTTACTGTGAGCACTTGGGGCACTCTGGTCACTTTCAGAGAACTCCATTTCATTCTCAGTTTTATTTCTGATTTCATCTTTGTATTCTTTGTGGTTTGCTCTTCACTGTGACCTTCTTGAAGAATAAGCCATTCTATCCATATTTTAAGCATTTATATTGAAAAATTTAAAGTTTTTAGCATCAGAAATCTGTTTTTTTGTTTTTTGTTTTTTAAAATTTTTATTAGTATGTGTTTGCAGTACATAATGATTACATTCATTGTAGAGAATTGACCCATGTACATAACATATATAAACTCTTGCCAGGGATTTAGCTCAGTGATTCCACCACCTGCTGTGCAAGCGCAAGGACCCGAGTTCGATCCCCAGTACCAAAAAAAAACACCAAAAAACAAAAAAAACCCCACAACTATATAAATTCTTTTTTTCTCTTTTCTTCTACCCCCTTTTATTTTTCCAGCATCAGATTCATTTTTTTATCTTATAACACCTTATAATTATCATATATATAGATTGAGAACTAGATTAATAGGCCAAAGAATTTATAAAACATATAAGATGATTTTAATAGATACATTGTCCACTCTGGATTATGATACCTTTTTTCCTCTCTCTTTTTTCCTGTTAATCTGTCTTTTATTTCATCCATATATATGTGGATTGTTTTTTTATATAAAAGAAATCATGTAATATTTAAACTTGTGTTAACAGATTTTAAATTTTCGTCTAGTGGTATTATCTGTCTTTTATTTCATACATATGTGTGTATTGAGTTTTTCATATAAGAGAAACCATGCGATATTTAAGTTTGTGTTAACAGATTTTAAATTTTTATTTACTTTTTTAATTGTGGTAAGAACAATTAACATGAGATCTCTGCCCTTTTAACAAATTTTTGTATGCATGATACAACACAGTACAGTAACTAGAGGTATGGTGCTGTGCAGCAGATCCCTAAAACTTATTTGCTTACATAACTCAAATTTACATGCCCACAGGTTCCCCTTTCTCTCTTTGCCCAGTCTCAGCCACAATTCCTACTTCCTGATTCTGAGTTTGGCTATTGTGAACTCCTCTACCAGATTTTAAGTGTGCTATTTTTTCACCCCTTATCTCTTTTCCTGCCATCTCCTCACTGTTGGCTTGATGGTGGAGTCGAGAGGGTGTTAGTGTCTGGCCTTATCCCTGATTTCCCTGGGGTGCTTTGAGCCAGTCACCTGGCCTCTTTGGCCCTATTTTCTCCATCTGCAAAAGAATCATGTGCAACCTGTTAATATCTAAATACTCTTCAAGGTTTAGTTTCTCGGTTTCCTAAAAAAAAATTCTATCTTTCCTTATTCTAACTTTTAAGATTTTTGAGTCAGAAAGAGTTGATTGACTTTCTTGGTGTGAGGACCACATAGAAGTATTTACACTTTTATTAATGCTGTAAATATAAATGTATGCTGGAAAGTCAGGGTTAAATAAATGCTTTTATACTGTAATATCAATATTTATTAAATTCATGAATAAAATAGCTCTTTAAATGTTTTTAGTGGTTATTCCTGGGACTTACAGGATCGATATGCTCAAGATAAGTCGGTTGTCAATAAGATGCAACAGAAGTACTGGGAAACCAAGCAGGCCTTCATTAAAGCCACCGGGAAGAAGGAAGATGAACATGTTGTTGCCTCCGATGCAGACCTGGATGCCAAGCTAGAGGTGAGCTTACAGCTCTCCATACCTTGCTGGAATCAGCTCACCTGGGTAGGCCTAGGTGTGCTTTGTATTTGAAAATGAGGAGCATCTAGGATCAGGGAAATTCAATCCCAGCACATCAACAAATTGTCATGTGACCACTACCATACCTGGGTTAATTTGTTCTTTAAGCACATAGTTGGAATGTATGGCCTATGGTAAATTTCTAATAAATGCTGAATAAAATTAATGCAATCAAAGAGCTGCTACTAGTGATATCTGAGAAATCAGAATTGGAAGGTAGACGAGACCTAGACAAAACTTCTAATGTTCAGATTTCCCAATGAGAGATGGACTCACTCTGATAGTATCAATGCCCTGTCCAATGAATCTGGGTTACTCTTGCACCTGCTGGTTGTTGTAACTTTGGGAGAACTACCCAGTTTCTCTTATCTTCATTTCCTTACAGCATAAAATGGAGATAAGAATGATTACTTATTGTGACTACTATGAGTGCTAAATTACATAACTAGAGTGGTGGCTAATATTATTGAGTGCTTATGTCCCGGGGACTATTCGGCATGACTTCTATACATTACCTCTGATATTTAGCAAAGCTCCTGACATACCCAGCTCCTGCTGCCCAATCCTGGGTTTCCTCCCCCAACACATACACTACTATCTCCAGCCATAATGACTCATTCTCAGTGCTCAGGCTACAACCAGGCAAGCTCATGTGTATCAGAGCTTTTCCTGTGGTCTGACTGGCCACTTTTTCTCCAGATCTTACCTTTACCAGCTCCTTCTCATAGTTCAAGTCTCAGGCTAATGGTACCCTGCAAAAGCCTTACCTCACTATGCTGTTTCAAGTCACATTATTTACCTCTCGTTCCCCACCCACACCACCCCATTCACTAACATACAACCTTGTTTTATTTTGTTCAGAGTTTTCATCTCTGGTTAAATTGTTTTAGGTGTTGATTTGTTTGCCTGTCTTCTCTCCACCAGAAGTTCAAATTCCATGTTAGTCTTAATCACCACTGTGTCCCAGCCAGTCGCACAGTACACATTCAACAGGTACTAAGTAAATAACTGCATATGTTCATGCAGTTACTATTAGTTCTCAGCCCTTTCTTTCCTTCTGTAATTGGAAGTTTTGAAATAGAATCTGAATTGGACAGGAATGTTCTAAAGAAGATTCTACTATAGAAAAAAGTAGACTCAAGAAACTTCTGTACTGATTTTTGCACTTGAATGGTGGTTTAAATCATTGTTACGTGAACTGTGTGTGGTGTTGAGTGTATGTAATCACAACACTTGGTAGGCTGACACTGGAGGATCTCAAGTTCAACTCCTACCTGACTTACCTAGCAAGACCCTGTCTCAAAAGTTAAGTGAATGAATGAACGATTTAATGAATTAATGAATGAATGGGCTGGGGATGTAGCTCAGTGTGAAGTTTCTGGGCTCAATTCCTAATACCTTCCCCGCAAATTAATGTAAGTTATATATATTTATATTTTCATATCTTATAGCTTTTTAATTTTTTACAAACCAGTAAATGCAAGCATTAGTCTAAAAGTAATATAATATGCTACTTACTACTAAGCTAAACATTATATTTGCATATAGGCTTTTACTGAACCAGCCACACTCTAACCCAGATAGCTGCTGTCCTAGACACATGGCATCCAAAGAACTTATCTGTGACTAATAATTTTACCCATGATAGGGGTTTCTGTTGTTTCTTAATACTGATGTTGAAATTTATAGAGAGCGCTGATTTCATCAATAAAACATGAAAGTGATATGCAAACCATATGATACCATTTTATACTGAGTTATTCCATGGAAGACTAACTTATAAACCAAAACCTTTTACTGTGCTGGCCCAGAAGATTGTGTGCCCTGCTTTACTTATGGTCAGATTCTCTTGCCACCCATTGGGAAGTTGATGTAGAAATGTTGTGCTGATTGCCAGATGTGGTAATACATACCTGTAATCACATCACTCTGGGAGACTGAGGCAGGAGGATTACAAGTTTGACCTCCTGGGCAACTTAGTGACTTAGTGAGACCTTGTCTCAAAATAAAAAATTAAAAAGGCATTAAGGATATAGCTCAGTATGAAGGCCCTAGGTTCAATCTGTACTACCACAAAAAAATGTGGTAAGTTTTAGTATTTATCCACATTGCTTATTAATTAGGTCATTTTTTTCAAAAACATCTCCATGGTTCAAGAACAGAAACCCATCAATGAAGATGACAGTCTCTGAATGGCTACCAGGGCAGAGTAGACTGTCTTGATGATAAGAAATGCTTCTTATTTTGCTTTGGGTATGGTTATGTAACTGTATACAATCATCAAAACTCACAGAACTGAACACTCCAAACCTGTGCATTTTATTGCATTTAACTTATATCATAATTTTTTTAATTGAAAAATAATAGTAGAAAAGCTCCGTGCTCCTGTATTCAAGAATTAAAATCAGAACCTCCTGGTAGTCTGTGACTCAAAATACTGATTTTCTAGGAATAGATTCAGATTGCTGATTTTTGTTTTGTTTTTGCGGTAAAGAGTATTGGTTTTCTTATCTAGATAGATCAAGGATGCAGTTTAATAAATTAGTAAATTCATATTCTTCATGACCAAGTTTTATTATATTAAATGTTCTTAGCATTGGTTTGTCATCTTTTAAGTATAGATGCATGCATCCACTTTTATTAGATAATTCAGTCATATTGATAATGAAGCAGACTATCTGTTTTCACTCAAGTATTGAAGCTTTATGATACAGAGGCATAATTTCTTCATCCATGTGGCCAGTAAACCAGAGGGAGAGGAAGAAGGAAAATCTTGCTTTGCCTCACTGAGAGGCTCTGCAGAGACAATGTGTTCGTCTGCTAGATTTTCTTGTTGATATCAGCCTGTGTCTCTGAGTCTGTGGACAGAGGGAAGATAAAGTATGAAGTCTGTTATGTTAGCTTTCCATCACTGTGACTAGTACCTGAGATAAATCAAGATATAAGAGGAAAAGGTTTATTGTGTCTTACAGTGTGAAAGGTTGAAGTTTATAGTCTCTTGGCCGTGCTGCTTTGGGACCTGTGAAGAAGCAGTACATTATGTCCGAAGTGTATGGCAGAGGAAATATGTTCACCTGGTAGGGGCCAGGAAGCAAAGAGAGAAAGAGGAACGAGCAGTGTCCCAACATCCCCTTCAAGGGCACCTTCCAAGACCTAACTTCCTTCCACTAGGCCACACCCCCTAAAAGTTCCACCATCTTCTAATAGCGCTCCACGCTGGCATCTGAATCTTTGACCTATGGGTCTTCAGGGGACATTTAAGATTCAAACCATAACATCTGCTCTATCTTTATTGAGCTCTCTTGGTTTATTAAGCAAAGAATGAGACCACCATGAGTTAAAATCTAGTTAAATTCCCTTCAATAGAGTCCCACCTGCCTTTCCCCTCATTTTCTCTAATATGGCCATCGTATGGCATTATGTTTTTTCTCTGTATATTTTATGAAATCATTAGGAAAATAAATAGTGATGTTTGCTTCTAGCTAAGCACCATTGTACCAGATGTCTTCCTAACAGACAGAACATTCAGCTGATTGATTTTTGTTTGCTTTATTCAGTTGTTTAAGCATGCCATAAAGTACATTAGGATCACAAAGTAAGTTAATGTCATCTTTTAAATATGATGTTTGTTTGACAGATCCTCCATTTAAAAAAAAAAGACAGCAGGTGGTAACGGGAATAAATTAGGTTACAAATGAATGTCAGGTCTCTGGTTTACCAAACCCTCTAATTGGGCCCTTCACTAGGTCTTCTGTTTCTCAGCTATTATTTCAATAGTCTGGAAGAAGTAATTGTTCTATATATTTTACTTTAGATCACAGAGATGGTGAATTCCAATAAGAATAGAAACAAAGGAGGATATTTAAATGAATTGGTCAGAGTCTTTGTATAGTTCATAACACAACACCAACACATTTAAACACATGATCTTGTTTTTAGTGGACAAATCAAATGCTATGGTTTTGTTCAGTATGATTATTTTTTATTGTGCTGCTTTATGTTTTATTTAGCATTTTGTTTGTATTTTTATTACAGCTATTTCACTCAATCCAGAGAACCTGTTTGGACTTGTCTAAAGAAATTGTACTTTATCAAAAGAGGATATGTTGTAAGTATGCCATAAGTATAACTATTGATCAAATACAGAATTAAAGAAGAGCAAGATATTTTGCCTTACTCTATATTTAATATATTAGGAAACTATTTAGAGGAGTTTGTCTTTGCTCTTTAAGCCAAGAGGAAGGTCTCTAAAACTGTTACCACTAATTTGTGTTTACCTTTCAAAACAAGTCATGTATTAGGAGAATTTTATATTGGCCCTCCCATAGATAGAGACATACCATTTATTTTCCCAGTTATGAAAATATTTTCTCAGTTTTATATCTTAGGCCTTTTAATACAGAGTTCTAGTTGGCTCTTGTACGTCCGTCCAATTTTGTTCCATTTAAACTGGTCAAGTGTTATATACATGCACCATGTCCACACAACTAATGTGAACGTTATGTACGGCAAACGTCAAAAAAAAAAAAAAGGAAGAGTGCCTTGGTTACTTTTCTCGTTGCTGAGACAGACTACCCAACACCCACAGTTAAAGGAGAAAAGGTTTGGTTTACAGTTTGTAGAGGTTTCAGTCCATAGTTGACTGGCTTCGAAGCAGGGTGGCACATGGCAGAGGGCAGTCGCAGAGGAGAAACAGTTCGTGGCACCCATAGAGTAGCAAAAGCAACAAGGGAACCTTAACAGTGTCTCTCTGTCCCTTTTATCTTATCCAGACTACCAGGATTAGGGTGGTGTCAAACCAATTAGTGTACTGGCTTAGTAATGACACACTCTTAATCCCAGCATCCTTGAGCCTAGCATTGCACCATGAATCAATTCCAGCATCACGCACACTCTAGATCTGCCACTTCATGACTGCAGGAGGCTTTGGGGGACATCTAAACACAAGCCATAACAAAGGGGATCAAGAAATGAGTGGAGGGGAAGGGATGAATAGAAGGAATGAAAATGTGTTATGTACGTGCAACGTATTCCCACGAGGAATGTAAATATTATATACTACACACATGTACTAATGAACTAAAATTTTTTTAAAAAGAAAGAAAATGGTCAAGTGAAGAAATTAGACACATAATTAATTCATTGATAAAACTTTGCTGACAGTACTTTCTCAAGAAAATTTCTTACATTAGACATTGGGTTACTAGGGAATAAGAGCTTCATATGGTTATCTTGTCTTAAAAGCAATACTGACAAAGTATTTCTGAAATACTAAGTAGAAAGTTATATGTTAATATGTTTCAAACTTCCGTTTGGAGGTCATTTTAACAGTATAATTTCTATCTAACACTAGAATATAGGAAATCTTTCTATTATTGAATGCTATGAAATCTCTTTCCCAAGTCACAAGTTAACGTTTGGTCATTTTTCTAAATTAGTAATATTTTTATTAAGATAAATATTTTAGAAAAGTCCCAAATCATAGGACTTACAGGGAGAACCTTGTGAATTACCTATGTTAATATGTACTAAGTGTTTGCACTAAGATGTCTCTAGAGCTGTAGCTCCAGGGTCTGTGAGCGAGCCGAGACATGTGACACACATCCCCCAGCGTTTCCCTGTCCATCTAGTCAGCCTTGAATACAATCTGCTTTGTCTCCTGAGTAGCTTTCAGCTTCTCCTCTCACTCCATCCTCCCTGCACCACCCCAGTTCAGGCCCTACTCTCCCTCTCTCACTTGGTCTGCTAACTCAGCTCCCTAATTGAGCATCCTGTTTCTCCACCTCAGGCTCCTCCAGCCCATTGTCAGCACTGCAGAGTATACTTTTAAACCTGATCAGATCACACCTTTGCTTAAACTCTGTGTTTGGGGAATGATTGGTCCAGTTCTCTTTTGCTATAGTCACCATGCTGCTAATACCATAAAATAAATCATTTTTTCTTTTATGGTAGAAAACAAAAAGATATTTATAAGATTGGGACTGTTATTTTCTAAGTGACATGAAGTCCAGTGTGCCCTATTTTTATTAAATAAAGTAAGTAAGTAAAAAGGGAAGAAAAGATAGAGGCCTGCGGATTTTTTGTAGTGATTCTCTGAAGAGAAATGATGCTTACCATTTATCTTAATGTTTGTAAACCAGAAACCCAGAAAGACCTTACCCCTCAGTCACCTCAGATTAGTTAATAGATATATGATTAAACACACTCAAAGCTCACGATCATCTTGAAAACATGGGGTTACATGTATTGGCCTAGTCATTTGGTTGGGCCAGCAGAATTAGCTTTGGTTGTCAGTGAGGCCTCTCGTACCATCCAGAAGCTCATGTGAGCCATGCCATTGTGGGGCACTGGGGGCGGGGGGAGTTCTTCCTACTTAGACTGAACGGGATCCCAACTTTGATAGAGGATTAAAAATAGTATAGTTAAGTGAGAGTGTTGCTATGCAGCTGTCAAAGAAAAGAAATGAGGGAAATTTCTATGAAGTGAAAGGAAGTGATTTTGAGGATACAATCTTAAGTGACAGAAGCCAAGCACATCGGTAGCCTGTTGCCTTTCCAGCACAAGGTGGGTGGAAAGGAGTGGGAATAAAGTAAGACATAAATGCAGAAAAAAGAAGGGGACACACACACACACAAATACATGTAGTCTGCTCATTGTGCTAAAGAAATACAGAAGAAAAGATAACCGGAAGCTAAGAAGACCGAATGTCAGTGGGGTGGGCACAGAGCCTGTGCAGGAGTGTGGGAGAGGGGGAGGGTAGGGGGAGGGTGGGATGACCAGGGAGAGCAGGGAGCTGTATCTCACTGAGCTCCCTTCAGACAGCTCTGACTCCTCAAACCATAGTCATGTTCTACGTCCTCCAAAAAATACTAAATACCCACCAGGACACTGACATGGGAGAGTCTGAAATGGAATACAAATAGTGACAAATGGTCTAAATGGCAGTACAAATGAATAACATCCCCACATTGACAAGAGAGGGAAGAACTAACCTTCATAATTTTTAAAAGCCAGAATTTTGACTGAATAGTAAGCTGAAGCATGAAGAGAAATCGATATGAAAAACTGTACTTTAGTTATTATAGTTATTTCTTATGGGCTAAAGTTAGAAATTCTGAAACTACTTTATGTGCATACTGAGGGTAAAAAAAATCAGGAAGTAAACATATTGTAGATGATGAGACCCTGGGTTCCCATTGTCTATAGTAGGAAGAAGTACAGGAAAAGGCTAGAATAAACATTGTGATGTTGCACTATACTCATTGTTTATATAGAGAAATATAGCTATACACAGATAGATGTATACAGAAATAAATACAGATGAATACATGTGTATGGCTAAGCGTACATTGAGATATTCCCTGCTTCTGTCAGCTGAGAATGCGTAGAAGCACCAGCACCCCATATCAGTGACACACCCAGCACTCAGATTTGTTTCTAAATAGATTTATTTCCCCACTCCTTGGAGAAGTGATTAGTTTCAGGGCTGGAGCAGGGAAAATTCAAGATAAGCCTGGAATATCTTATAATGCCAGAACATAAGGAAGTACTTAAAAATGAACAGGCTATGTTGAAAGGAGACAAAAGCAAGCTTGTGGTCAAAGCTGGTACAATTTGAGCAATAAAATAAATAATAATAGTATTGAACTGTGGCCCATAGAAAAAGTAATTACTCATTAAGTCTGTATAGAAATGATGGATGGATGAGTAGGTGGGTGGGTGGCTGGCTGGCTGGATGGATAGAAGGATGCCTGGATGGATGGGTAGGCTGGTGAAAGGGACAGCTGTTTCTTGTAAAATAACTCTAGTTATTAACTGTATTAAAAAAGAAAGAACCACTAAATCCCCATTAGGCAAAGACCACAGTAAGAATTGTGGCAGGTCAGAGTCACTAAAGAGTAACAATTAATGAGTGAAAATTTGAGGAGAAACTGGATATTTGCCAAATCTCATGTGTTCCCTCTTTAAGATTTTAATAATTACAAAAGGAAAAAACTGAACTTGACAGTAGAGAAACCCAGAAAATCCCACTTTAAACACGTGATAGAGGTCAGCATTCCCAGAGATAATTCACAGTGGTGATACCATGTATTCCTTGATGCCATACCCTGGGAATGACACTTCCCCCCTGTGGTGACCTTCCTCCAATCCAGAACCCCATGCTAATCATGATAAACTGGACAAACCCAAACTGAGGAGCATCCTACAAAATACTGCTAGAAAGTTGAATTATAAAAAAGAAGGTGTCAGTTTCTGAAAGACAAGAAAGAAGGAAGCACTGTCACGAATTAAAGGAGTCTGGGAAGACTCAGTATGTCAGTGTAATGTGGGACTTGAGACTAGATCCTCAGAAGAAGAAGGACATTCATGAGGAAAACTGGTAAAAATTCAAATGGGGTCTGTAGTTCAGTTGATGGAATTGCAGTGTTAATATCCTCATTTTGATCATTGCACCATGGTTACATAAGATGGAAATATGAGGGGGAGGTGGGAAAAGATACACAGGAATTCTGTATACTGTTTGTACCTTTTCTGAAAGTCTAACATTATTTCAAAGTAAGAGGTTTGATAAAAGTGTAAATTGGATCATATGGGTCTTGTTTTTAAAAGCCTCTAATAGAAGTTAAAGTAGAATCCAAACTCCCATACCATATCTTATAAATAGGACAGCTTATAAATAGTTTAATCAAGGTCTCCCATCACCTTTCCCTTCACCCAGAGTTATCTGAGGCCTTTTGTACTCACTGTGTTTGCTCTAATAATATCAAGAATGGTCCTTTCTTCTCATTCAGAGCGTAGTTTATTAGTCATCTGCTCTGAGATGCCTTCCCTGGCCACTCAGTCTAAGGCTGCTCCCAGTAACTCTTATTCTCATTGTTCTGTCTGGTATTTTTCTTTTGTGTGTTTTGCATTTGTGTTTAGGTGTGTTTTATTTTTTTATCCCCTGCCACTTAAATATAAACTCTCTTAAGAGCAGGATCCTCCTGTGTCTCGTTCATCACTGTATTCCCCATGGCAGGAGAGTGTCCAGTATATATTGGATCCATAAATCTGGGTTGAGTGAGTTAATGCTGCCGAATTAATTAGTTTCATAGTTATTTAGTTGCTTCTTAAAAAGGCACATCTGAAATCTCATCTGCAAATGTAAATAGGATTTTATTTGAATTTTAAGTGCTAATTAATTGAAATCTTGGTATAAGTAAAAATGTCTGATTTATCAGATACATGTATTCCACCTGAATTTTAAATTTCTACATATTAATTTCAATATTTGAATTTCTTAAAGAATGACCATCACTTCTCAAAGCTCAGCTGATAGAGCTTACACCTTTTTCACCGTGTTCTCAGAAGCATTACCAATTCATGAGCCAGTACTTCAAATGAAACCTGCTTGCCACCGAAGTTTAATCCTCAAGTACATAAACTGTCTAAAAATTATTTTAAATGTTTCAACCTACTTAGGTTCATTTAGGAAGGAGTACACTTTGCCAACTGTATAATCATTCAGGTACCATAAATTGGTTTCTTCCTGGACTTAAGATAAATGTGTATCTATATGTGACTTGAGGCTTCAAGGTAAAAAATAAAAATGACAATAACCTCACACTATTAGGAGAAAAATGGAAAATTGCTTTCCATGGGGAAAGATTCATTGTGGAATTCAGTGAGTCATATGCCAGTTGGTGAATAAAAGAAATGGAAGGTTTTAGAAGACAAAACATTAAAACCCTCTTGTAATTGTAGAAAATTTGAAATCTACATAGAACCATGGCATAAATATCAAGAATTTAGGTAAAATAAAGTGTGTGGGGTTATCAAGGCAAAAATTATAGTTGATTCAATTTCACAAGCATTTAATTAGCACCACGTACGTAAGATTTTATGCTCAGCCTAGAGAATACAAAGTTTGGATGAAGTCCATCTCCTAGAAAGCTGAGTCTCATGAGCACATGCCTACACACACACACACTCTGACACTGGTCCTAAGTGCTAATAGAGGTGTCCAAAGGGCACTGCTGTCTGGAGCAATAGGACAACTACTTCACAGAGGAAGTAAGCTTTGAGTTGGGCTTTGATCTGTGAACTTGATTTTTGAAAGAGAACACAGGAAGAAAAACCATCACTATCACTCAGGAAAATAGATTTAAAAGCCTCTTCATCATGGGGTTCTCTCAGAGGACTGTTCAGAGTGACCCATGGTCACAGATTAATAAGGAAGCTGTAGTGAGTTTTGCCATCACTTTTGGAACTGTTTCTGGCCAACTTCTTATAGCCTTCGTTGGAGAGGTTACGTCAGGAAGGGAAGAATTTGGATGGCTCATGAAAACAGATGAGAATCCTAGAAGCAGTTTTAGAGATATGTGATATATAACAGTATCAAAGCAGAAATGTGAATAAGGGTATTATTTAGTACATGCTGAGTAATAATAGTAAATGTAGTGGTAGTATTTAGAGAAAAAACATCCTCAGAAGCTCAGTGTCACCTGTGTCTTTGTGGCTGCATTGTTGGTATGTGTTTGGGACTCTCCCTGTGCTATTATGTGGGTCCTCTAAATTTTATTAAATCAGTCTCTAGAATAGAGAAAGTGCCTCACTATTATAAATATAATGCTGATTGTATATGTACTCATTTTACTACTTCCCTAGAATGTACGTACTCCTAACAGTATAAAAAGACACATATGGTTCTATAACTTTTTATATCTACTGCCTATTAATCTATAGAAAGCTTTTACCAAATACTGTCTCTCCAATAGTCCCATCTGAGATTATCTTTTAAAAAGGCCAAGATTAGACATAACCAGTTTAGATTTGGTTCTAGCTCTGTATTTCAAAAATCTACCAAGTGGTTGACCTAATGACCCATGCACCCTCTCTTCCCACCCCCACCTCCATCCAAAAACCTATTTCATGGGTGAGGTATTCAAGTTGCTTTATAGTGGAGCAGAGAGTAACTCAGAAAGCAGGGATGAAAAAGTCAGCAGGGGAGAATAATAGGAGGCAGCCAGCATCCCATTATAGGCAGCCACAAAAGATTCCCACAGTCGCACTTGACAAACCCAACTCCTTTATTTCAGCTCGAAGCAGCACATTATGGGCTCGCTTTTCAGTACAGAGGTCATTTTCTGGTTCTGATTACAGGGCACCAAACTCACTGACAGATGTATTCAAGTGAATTTGATCTTGGGTATTGTAAATGGAAGAACAGCATGAGAGTTAAATGGCGGGATGGGGGAGGTGAGGAGAACTTACCTTGCAGCCCACCACTTGGGTTTCATTTCAGATGGTCTTTGCCTCTGGAGGAAAGAGGACCTTGTGATTTGTCTCTCCCATTTTCTTTGTAATAAGTATGCTCATTGTTCACAGTTTCTTCCCATCTTTTCTTCATCAGTCTTGTCTCAAGAAGAAAATGAACTGGGAAAATTTCTCCGATCCCAAGGCTTCCAAGATAAAACCAGAGCAGGAAAAATGATGCAAGCCACAGGAAAGGCACTCTGCTTTTCTTCCCAGCAAAGGTGTGTGGCCTTCATTGGGGCTTTGTTTTCAGAGACAAAGAGAATCTGGGACCCACTAAGAGAACTTCACAGTCTTTAGAAGGCTTTTGCCTGAGGCTGAAGAGCTACTAAGGACTGGGTTGTTAGTTATCTCTACTTAACTGTCTGATTTAGATAACATATAGGATTCCTTTTTCATCTCTTAAAAAAAATATCTTTTTTCATTTTTTTTTTTTTGGTCTATAGGGGCATAATATACACCAGTCACTATGAGTACTGCCCAGGCTTGTATTTAAGCTTCACTGTTGCTCGTACATTGGTTCTCTTCCAGCAGCTGATTAAAGCAGGAGCCTAATGAGACTAGTCTGAAGGGTCTCCTGGGTGATCTCTGTGGGCCAATTAACTGCAGAGAGGTGTTGCCCGGGATGCTCTGGACCACACTGCCCAGACCCTGGGCCAGCAGCATTGCCTGGGAACCTGTTAGAATGCAGAATCCAGGCCCCACCACAGGTCCACATTTTACAAAGTCCCCTGTTGATTTTGAGGTACATTCAAATTTGAGAAACTGGTACAGAATAAATTCTGGCAGATCAGTAGCATTAATACAACCAAGGCTCATTTTTATGTGAGCCCTCATACAACTATTCTTTGTGCCTCAGAAAGGGGACATTTTTCTCTCTTCTTCCTGTCCAATAACTCACAAGCCCACCCCTAAATGTTACATGCTAATGTTCAGCAGAATTAAATCTAAATAAGCTTGTAGGTAGTTTTCAAAAATACTTAGGCTACAGAAATTTTACGTACTTAAATTGTCCAGCATGTTTTTCTCATTAATTTTTCCTTTGTGTTTTCCTTTCCTATGGGCCAAGAACAGGCTATTGGCACGTTGTTATGTGGGTATTCCTATGAAAACCTAACTAAGGTAGAGGAGAAAAGAAGAATCTAGCATGTCAAATTTTCAGTGATCCCATCCCTGGGCACGCTGATTCTTCTTAATGACATTTGGATCCTGACTATGTGGACAGTGCCAGCCATAATAGCTGAATGGAACCATTTCCAGTATTTATTTATACCAGCTTTCCAAGAAAGTATTTGTTTAAAATCTTGAATTGTACCTTTTATGCTTATTTATAACAGATCTTTCCTTGTAAAAAATATACACACTCAATTAAAAAAATTTAACAACAGAGGCAAAGCAAAAGGAGAAAATTAAAAAGCAGCTAAAATTTTACTAATAGAGATAGAGCTACTTTTAAGCCCTTGATACTTTCCCTGTATATACAGCCTTCTTCTTTACAAGGAAAATTAATTCCTTAAAAAAATCTTCCATAGAGTAAATTCTCATATATTAAACATGTAATTGCTACTAATTTCAGTGAGAAAAATTCTGTGTATGAAAATTAACATGTATTTATGGAAAACAAAGTCAAACCCCAGAACACTACCAGGCTTACTATTACTGATCACATTGTTCAATATTCTATAATATGGTCCAGTTATGCCTTTTCATGGTTTGAAAAAGTATAAAATATTACCTTAAGTTTATGTAATGTAACCTTAGGATATAAACAAAAACAGTAAAAGAAATCAACAAAACAAATGTTTGTTGTTTTTTTTTTGGAACCGGGGATCAAACTGGGGACCTTGCGCTTTTGAGACAGGCCGCGGAACCACTGAGCTAAATCCCCAACAAATGATTTTTTAAAGTACCAGTACTGTAAATTAGCAAACTGTACTCTATCTGCACTTTAATGAGGTGTGGCCAACTTTGCAATTTAGAGTGTGACCTCCTGCAAGGTGGCTCTGGTTTCATGATCTTCAGCTGCCTGCCAGGCACATGAAATCCCAACCAGTTCTTTTAATCATGTGGAAAGTTGAAGATCTAAATGAACTCTTATGAACTTGAATTTTAGTCCACAATGAACAAGATTAAAAGTATACTAAAGTGTATTTTTAACATAAACAGCATCATATCCTGTAGTGCCTGTGTCCTGTTATATACAGATTATTTAGCAAATTAAACTTTTAAATGAAATAATGCTAATGTCTTTTTTATTTCAATGTATACATCTTTAAAAACATCCATAGTATAGTATTCTGTGATATAGACACATTTAACCCTTCTGTTCATTTCTTGGTTTGTTTCAGCCTTTTGCAACTACAGGATAAACATAAGTGGATTAGACCTTTAGGCACTTTATTAATTATTCTCATTGCATGAGTTTTCGCGACTGAAAATGTGAGTCAGCCTTGCACTGAAGATTGATACTTTCAGTTATTGAGTTTTTTCTTGGTCTTTCATATCACAAGTGAATGGGGTTTTACCTTTCTAATCTTATATGAAGCCAGTTACAAGAAAAAAAAAAAGAAAGGAGATTTGTAAGCCTTTTTTTCCTGTCATCATGTTATTGCAATTTCAAAGGTTTCCGACTGATTTTACAACAGTAAAAGAGACAGAATAGTTTACTCGCAGAAGTCTTTTTTCAGCCAGTTTAGGAAAATAGGCAAAATTTAAGGGAAGAGAAAAAGAAATCCAGAAATGAACGGGCTCCTTAGAGAGACATCTGAGGACTGGTTATCTCTTTAAATAGATGTCTTCAGTTATACAGACCTTAACACCAGTATTTGTTTAACTGACTTAATTGCTAGTCATTGCACAATTGCTCATTCTGCTTAATGAAGGGTGAGTATAAAAATTAAACCAACAGCATAAAACACAAGTTTATGGTGCAGAAAAATATTTCTTTGAGAAAATCTCTAATATCAGTAGACAGTGTGGACAAGCTATTTTTATAGAAATGCTCAATAGTTAAAACAATAAAGACAATAGAGAAAAGAGTAAAAGGAGCAGTTGTTCCTGAACAGTTCATTGGGCTACTTAGTCCCTCAGTGTTACACCCATAAGGCATCCCAGAAACTGATGGACCTGCTGGAACTGACTTCAGCTCCCTGGCACCATGGTCCCCCTCAGCTAAGTAAGTTTGCATTGAAGTTAAAATGCAAATTTTCATCTTATTTTCATATTTTGCTGTGCCCTGAAACCTCATGGAGAAGAATATATTTTAAAAGTATAAATCATCTGGCATTACTCATTTTGGGTAGGAATATGGAAGAAGCAGTATTTTCCACCCAAAATAAATATTTTTTTCTATAGTTTGATGTGCTTCAAACTTTTTTCCCAAATAAATTATTGTATGTTATGGCTGGCATTAGAATTTTACGTGTGTACAGTATACAATCATTTCTGGTATCTATGTTTGTTTTGTTTTTTATAAAGATTAAATCCACATAACCTATCTGAAAATAGTAATGCACAAAAGACCCTCAGTAAATGTGCTTATTCCCTTCCTAAACCATTTTTAAATACTTGAGTTTATGCTTTGTTCCTCTTGACTGTAGGAGAAAGGAGCAGATCCCCTGGCCTTTAAGATCCATCAGAATGCCAGGTCAGGGCAACCCTAATCACACACACTCCCATCCTCGCTAAAGGGCTGAGCTTCAAGGGCGCAGGAGATGGGAAGAGCAGAAATGAAATTGGGCTTCACTGAAGCAGGATTGCCTCCAAGTTCAAATGAACACTGCGCAGGCTTGAGGCCACCTTGAACAACACTGACAGAGATGCTTCCGGATAATTTAGTTGAGTAACAGTAGACTAAAGGATGAGAACATGGGTGGCCATCTCTGGCTCACTCATCAGTTCATACACATTTTAAATTATTCATCAAATCTTGATGGGGCATCTTTTATGTTGCAGCTACTGTTCTGTGTTCATGAATTTAAGACAGACAAAATGTCAAGGATTCAAACAGAACTACTGAATGGCTTAGTTTTGAGACTGTAGCTTTGTCTTCTTGTCTAGGTTGGCCTTGCGCAATCCTCTGTGTCGATTTCACCAAGAAGTGGAGACTTTTCGGCATCGGGCCATCTCAGACACGTGGCTGACAGTGAACCGCATGGAGCAGTGCCGGACAGAATACAGAGGGGCGTTGTTATGGATGAAGGATGTGTCTCAGGAGCTCGATCCAGACCTTTACAAACAAATGGAGAAGTTTAGAAAGGTAGGGGTTTTATGTCGGGTATCAAAAGGGTACCTGCTGGAAGGTAATGAGGTGTGATTTGAATCCCTCTGGTGAAGAAGACATAACTCAAAGGCACCAAGGATGCAATTAATCATTGCTGACATCTTCTTATGTGACAGAATACCAATTAATGTGATATATAATTCTCCAAGGATAAGACAGAAAAGACAGCTGGAAATTGCTGAGATTTAGTAACTGGTTTTAATTGAAGTCAGGTTTTCATATAATGTGCACTTATTGTAAGGTTGTCACTTTTAAATGTCTTTTCATGTATAACTAAAAATCAAGATTAGATCAAATGAATCTGGAAAATGAGATCAGACTAGTAGGGAAGTCTCTTAAAATGCTAGTGCGTATTAGAATTAATAAAATAATATTTCTTTGTTTTGTGAGATGTTCTGAAGCAGTGGAATTTAGTTATTAGCTGGCGAGGGTATTGACTTTGTCAAACTTTTCAGAAATTTCTCTGAGGAAAAAAGTAGCCAATATCTTCCTAAATTTCTTTGAAATAACTAGTGAGTAGCAGAAGGATAATCTTCCTTTTGTTTTAAATTATTGTGTGTCAGTGTAGCCCTTAGATTTTGTCATAGGAGGAGACGTCCTACCACTGGGTGGCAGTCATGCACTGAGTTTTATGAAAATGCAGCTTTATTTTTGTTGTGTACAATCTTGGTACTTCTTTGTTTGGCCAACTGGATATATTTCAGGGTGGGAAAAAAAAACGAATCAGCCAAATGTTAGACTTGACATAAAACTCTGTCAACTGTCTTACTCATTTCAGATGATCTATTTGTAATTAAAAATGTTGCTTAAAACCCCTGCACACCCTTCTAAGTACATCATAGCAGAGCTCTGAATAGGAAACTGCTGGTGCATGGGCAGTTAGAGGTGTGCAGGTGAAGAGGAAGACCCTTCTGTTGCTAAGAGAATGCTTACCAACTCTTGATCTAGGTATTAGTTTGGTACAAATTCTTCTAGAAGTCAGATTTTCTTTTGGTTTGTTTAGGATCCCTCTCTATGAAGAGAATCTATACAATATCCACTTTATTTTTTTCCAGATCATAGATGTCTTTCACATATTAGCAGCATCTCAGATTTCAGTAAAGCAGGCTTCTGAGCTCATGAAAAGCAGAACTAGAAAGCTTCTTAGAGATGATCTAATGAAACTTGCTCTTCTTATTAAAAAGAATATAAGGCTGCTAGAAAACCAAGACAATAAATAATACTTTCAAGGTTTGGTAGCTACATTCTGCAGACCCCAAACTACTTTTGAAGTTTTCTGACTTTCTAATCAGGCCAGTAATTTGCTTTGTCTTTAGCACTTTATTTAGAGGTTGAGGAGAATACAGTGGAGCTGGATATAGAAAAAAGAGAAAAAAAGGAGAACAACAACACTGTCTGCAGGGCTTATTGCTGATCACTGTCACATTTGCCTTCTTAAGTGGCACAGTAATCAACGTGTAAACTCTATTTTATAGACAAGGAAAATGACACCCATATTAGGTCACTATCCCTTAGTGAGACCTGGAAAAAAAGTTAGAATCCTATAAAATATGCGTAATTTTTTTCCTTAAGAGACAAGTAAAAAAGTTGAAAAGCATACCTAGGCCTGGGGATTTAGCTCAGTGGTTTCACTGACTGCTGCGCAAGCACAAGGACCGGAGTTCAATCCCTGGTACCAAAAAAAAAAAAAAAAAGAAAAGAAAAGCATACCTAAAATGAACAAATATTTTCATAGTAATACCTTTCCTGTGATTTATTCATTCAATTAACAGTCACTAAGCACTTCCTATGTGCCAGATAATAAAAGTAAACAGAATTGTGTTTATTTGGTTTTGTTTGGATTTGGAGGGGCAGTTACTAACTGTGTAAGGATGAAATAAAAACCAAGTCCTTCGTCATTTGGTTTGAATGTTGAAACATTTCCCACCATTCGGTGTCATCAATCAGTTGATTTTGGAAAATATGTTTTTTAAAAAAATTTGTTGCCATAGAAACATAGCTGAAGCTATGCCTTACTCCCTAATCCCATGTGTGCTGGATTTAATAGCTGAATATGATGTACTTAGAATTCGGGGAACAAATTTTTTTACCAAATCTATCATCAAGTATACATTGGATTAGGCTGGACTCACCACAAGGGCAGGAGCCATCCTGGTTCTCCTGTCAGCCATAACCCCAGCCCCAGTCCAGTTCCTGGCCCCATGTTAGTCCTCACATCTAGGGTATTGGGGATCCAGGAATAAAGGTGGAAAGGACAGCGCCATGGTTGCTCTGCCCTCTTGGGCTCTCCCATCATATGCAGCTGACCTTATATCTTAGTTTTTTTTCTCACTGCTGAGACAAAATACCCAACATCCAAAGTTAAAGGAGGAAGGTTTATTTTGGCTTACGGTTTGTAGTGGTTTCAGTTTATAATCATTGGGCTCCAAAGCAGGGTGGCATGACAGAAGGTCACTGCAGAGCAGAAGAAAAGCAGCAGCAGCAATAAGCCATAAGTGACAAGCCATGAACATAGCAGCTCTTTCTGTGCCTTATATCTTATCCAGGCTACCCTCAAGGTGGGTAGCACTGACAATTTTAATCCTAGCACCGTGGATCAATCCCAGCATCACATCCTTGGTCCTGGCAGCACACACCCTAGATCCAGCCACCTCCAGAAAGCCCCACCTATGACTGCATGAGGCTTTGGAGGAACATCTAGACGTAACCCGTAATACCTTATGAGACTGCAGATTGGCATGTGTGGTTCTGCAGGTAGCTGTGGATTGCTGCTCTCTTTGGAATGACTTTAAATTGTACAGTTTTCCATTCACTTGCAATTTACAGCATGAAATTTAGCTTTGAGTGAGCTTTATAGTTTTCTCCCAGGGGGGTTACATTTTAAACAGTCTCCATTGATCTCTGAGGAATGTGTTACCCAAATGTATTTCTGCATCACATGGCTGAGTGATCCAGCTGCAGTAGCTCCTCGAGAGTCACTGCAGAAGCAGGAAATGGCGATGTTGTGGGGGACTGACTGTTCAAGCTCCTCAGTGAGGCTCTGGACCTTCACCTTTCAACTCGTGAGTCCTAAACAAAAGTCATGTTGCTATCAATTCTGTTGAGTTCATGCATTCTGGAGGACACTAAAGTTCTAATTCTTATTTTGTGTTGAGGTCCTATTTGCAAACTTTAGTATGCACATGCATCCAGCAACTAATATGGAAGCCCAGCTATGTCCCATGTAGCATCTCTGCCATACTGTCAAAATAGGGCACATGAACATGATGCAGTATGGTGAGCAGTATCGGAGGTACCATGTGGTGCACAGGAACACCTAGAAGTGTCCTGGAGGAAGTGACATCAAACAAGATGTGAGATATGAATAGGAAGGACCTCACTAGAGGAAGTGGGAACCACAGAGCAGAGTTCCAGGCTGAGGAAGGAGCTTATACAAAGGCCTTAGGTGAAGGCAGTGGGGCATTTAGAACCAGAGCACAGAAGGTTAGCTGGATGTGGGGACAGTGGTGTCCAGGCCACGCTGCTGGGGAACAAAGCAGGACAGAGGCAGTGGGGAGGAGGAAAGTGTTGAGGAAGGGGTGAGAAGGAAGGGGTGTGATCAAATTGGTGTTTTCAGTAGCTTCCTCAGATTGGAAAGGCATTGGAAAGGGCCCATGCCTTGAGGTAGGGAGAATCACCTGACAAACCCTGGAGTGACTGTATAATGGCCAGGGGTGTAGACCAGAGAGAAATGCACCATTCTGACCTCTGCCAGACCCTGTAGTGGCACCATTTCAATCACAGAACTCTTCATTATGTTTAAATGTAAGCAGAAAAAGCATAGATGTATAGCAAGTTCAAATGAATTTTCTCCTCCCAACAGAGACCTTTTTCAGAAAGCCAAAATAGTACATAGTGAGCATGACTGAAAAGATAAATGAAAAAGTTAAACAAAGCTAATAATCTCTCTTTGTTCTGGCACCTTTAGAAGCAGATAGGCTGAGGACCAGGCTCTCGATATCCATATTCGGGGCCATAAGGAAGTATCTGTGTCAGGACATAGAAACACAGAATGAGGGCTTGATCCCAGCCTTGGAGCAGGATTCTGTGCTCCTTGTCAAGGAGCAGGATACCTGGGGAGTGGCCACTTGCAGCTGTTCCCCTCAAGACCAAGTAATAGGTGGTGGGCAGGGGGGATTTCTGTGGGCAGGGTCGGGTACTGTGCAGCGGGAGCCTCCTCCTGACAGCGAGGTTCACTGCAGGACCACGAGGTATTTTATGAGCAAAGTTACAACGTGTGATAGATGTGCCCTTTGTAGGGAGAGTAAAAGGGTATAATTTAAAAATAGCAGCAGCTTCTTGTAGCAGATTACATCAGCTGAAGTTGTGAGGGCACGGCCTAGCTTTTGCAGCCTGGTGCCCTTGAGATAGTCCTCCTGTGGTCAATTAAGTGTCTTGTTTTTCTGGAAAGTCAGAAATGGGATGGAAGGTAATTATTCTTAATGGAATAAGAGCTGTGTTAGGTGTAAGAAAATAGTTCTGAATTCTCCAAAGAGATAGTATAGAAATGTATACGTGGGCATTTGTAGGAGTCAGAGTCTTCCTAGACCAGGGCAGGGGGAGCAGTGTTTTAATGAGGACCATTTATTAAATGACTTAATGAAATCATACAGCATTTGTCTAGTGTTTCATCACCAAGTTCAAAAGGATATCTAAAAGTATCATAGGAAATATGAGTAATATGTGCTTATACACACAGGCTTATATTTATTCAAAAGTGTTAGATTTTGGAGACCTATTAAACCCGTAGTCAGATCATCAAAGGATATGTTCCGGTGAGAAGGCTTATTAACAAATGTTAGCAGCTTACTAGGTAGGACCTTGTTAGGGCCATTAGTCAGTGGTGTCCTATGTCCTAGTTGTGAAAGTTTGGATCTGCAGAGTTTGGTCAAGGATTGATAAACAGCAGTATCGATACTAGAGGGATTTTTCCTATG